CGTGCCCGAGCGCGGGGCCGGCGGGAGGGCCGCACAACAGCGGAGCTCTGTCATGCACCGCGCGGATACAGTGGGGGATTCAAGCACGAGCCGCAGGAATTCAAAACGAAGCAGCGTTTTTGAGGCCTGGCATTTCGAAGCAGTGAAAGAGCAAAGAGAGAAATATGCAAAACATGTTACAGCCAAGTCTAAGGCAGCGCCAGCAGCTACTCTGCTCCTGCGGATTCGGGGGTGAGCTCTGTGCACATCCGTGGTTCTAATCCCGGTGCTGAGCACTGACTGCATCTCGTCACCGCCTGCTCTTAGACTTGAGCAGCAGGAGCGATGGAAAAGCGCTCCAGAAAGGTATTTCATCTAATTGGGCCCCACTGCCTGGGCTCTCCCTGAGCCTATGAAGCAGAACCCAAGTCAGGGCTTGTTCCATCCCCACCGCGGACAACCGTCCGCGCTTCGCTGTGCACATCCCGTCCGGAGACACGACCTCGGCAGCAGCCAGGGTGGAAGGGGGGCTCCTGGCGGTACCGACCCGCGGTGCCGAGGGCCCGGCAGCGCCGCCAGCACCGACCTGCTTGTTCTTGTACTTCTTCAGGTAGCGAGGAGACACCAGGCACTCGGGATTGATGTCGGTCGTGATCTGCTCCGGGATGAGCTGCGGGTCGGGGTTCAGGTGCTGCATCTTGAGGAAGGACAGGATGTTCTGCACCTCCAGGCTGTAGGAGCTGTCGGCCATGGTCTTGCCCTTGGAGGCGAGCCGGCACGCTGCCATCCAGTTGGCGTACTGCCTCTCCTGCGCATGGAACAGCATGGATCCGTCACGGAGCCGCACGGGAAGGAGAATGAACCGTGGGGAGAAACCAAGGGCAAGGAGCAGCCGTGGGGAGCCCGGCCTGGCACACGCGCTCGCGTGCGAGTCCTGGCCTGCGCAGGATGGGACAGCGGGGGCAAAAGGAAAGCGGGCGGCCGCGTAAGGGACAGACTTACGTTATCGCAGCGAAGCCAGATCTCATTCATCCCCTCTGCCACTGGGATCAGGAGTTTGATGTTAAACTTCTGACCAGAGATGTTCACATCAGGGGTAACTTCACACCCTGCAACGAGGGGGCCAATGTTTAACACGCGTGCGAAGACGTACACTTTAAAAAGGAAATAAAGGGAAAAGCCGGCACTCCAGCAGCGGTGTCCAGCAGCATCTCGCTGCTGCAAAGGTCTTGCCCCACATCTGGCAGGACAAATGCTCCATGATGCAGGGAAGAAAATACTACGGACATCTCTTTCTCCAAGGGAAAGGAAAAAGGGGGAGAAGCAAGAAGTGAGTGGAAGCAGCGAAGCCAAAGCTGCGGCGCTCCCACATCCCGGTTCCCGCTTCTCCCCTCCCTCGGCCGCGGCTCTGGGCAGGACCCCGGGCAGCTGGGCTGACCCTGGGGGCTGGAGGCTCCTCGTCAGCCCGGGCTCCGCTCCCGCGCGGCCCCGGGATGCTTCCCAAGTGCCGTCACAGCCCACACGCCGGCAGCTCCCAAAAAGGTATCGGAGGCGACTCCAGGCCGCGCGGCGGCTGCAGCTGGAGCTCTCTTGGCACCGCGGCTGCTCCTGCCTCCGTGGAAAGAAAAAAAAAAGGGTCTCTCGGAGCAGGCAATTTTTCCCTTCACATAAGAAAGGCCAGCAGCGGAAGGAATGCTGAACACCCCGTGCCCGAGCAGCACCAAAACTACCGCTGTGCTCGGCGGGCACCGCTCTGCGCCCCGGCCGGGGCCACCGCCAGCGCTCAGAGAGGGCATGAGCGGGAGGAATCACCGAACCCACAGCCTGGCATCACCACAAGCCCTCTGGGCAACCGTGCTGCGGGGGAGCTTTCCATTGGCACTGCCACAGGTACTTCCATTGGCACTTCCATTGGCTTTCCAGGGCATTTCCATCCGCTATGGGCCATGCATTCCTCCAAGAAGCAGGACTGCAGCCCACGCTTGTAACCCCAGTCACCATCTCCCCTTCTCCTTCACACCCTGCCGTTCAACCCTAGGATGGTGCCTGCAGTGCTAAGAAGCTAAATCAGTGGAAGAACCACGACAGCGGCGGGCTGCTCGCTGGAAAGAAACGCCGCAGGGCTCAGCCTTCACTTACCTCTTAAATTCATCTGGTGCGCAGGGGTCCCGTTGGATTCTTCCTTGCTTTTATAGCAGGAAATGGAGGTATCTTTGAAGGTGCACCAATAGGGCTTGTAGCCCTTCAGCGTCAGCTTCTTGGGCCTGCAGACAGGGTGACGAAGGTGACGGTTACTACGTGGGAGCTGCAGGTCTCCGGGTGACGGGTTAGGTTAAGGGATGCTGGGAGGCAGCCGGGCTCCTCAAGGGAGCTGCTGTGCCCTCACGCTGCGGATTCTGCACCGGGAAACGGGTTTGGCCCTGGAAAATCTGGTGTTAGTGACCACAAGGCAAGGCCCATGGACAGCCCATGCCCGGGGGCCCAACAACCCGTTGGTGTCTCTTGGGCTGGTCCCTTTGCTGCAGCAAGGCCAGGTCCAGAACCTGAGCTGTGACCGCACACGGGGACTCCTCCGTCCTGGGTGCCCTGCAGGGACAGGGGTCCCACTAAAGGTCCCATTAATTTGGGGCAGGGGGCAAGGGGAGACTGGAGAACTGTGTTATAAAAATGGAAGTTTTCATCAGCCACCCAAACTCTTCCTTCTTCGCCTGTCATTTCAGACTGCAGCCAATTCGTTCCGACTCTGAAAGCAAACAGCCTGTCCCCAAGAGCTGCCAGTCAGGCACACGGGACTGCTGCTGTTTGCTTTGCTAATACTCGGAAAAGGGTCGGGTCCATCCCGAGCCCAGCCTGGAGCAGGCGGCAGGGCCGACCCAGGCACCAGGATCCCGCTATGACGGGTTGGCCACAGGGAGCTGCGGGTTTTGGAGCTTCTCACAGCCCGAATTCCTAATCCTCGCTCAAATCCCATCTTGAGGGGCTCCCGTCGCTCCCACTCTGCCGGGCTCGCGGGTTCTTCTGCTCTCCCTGTTTTCCCTTGTCCCAAAGGAGGGGAGCTCTTGAGAGGGGCGACTGCTGAGTTCACAGCCGCAATTTCCCTTCCAAAACTGCCCCGTTGAAGTGTTCAACCTCCGGCCGATGCCGGGTTTTCCACCTTTTCCTTCTACGCTTTGCTCCATAGGTTTGCCTGGAGCTTCCTGGGGCTCCTTTAAATTGCAGGCAGGGCTACGACTAAGCGCGATGGAAAAATGCAAGAGGCACATCCAGATCCAGGCCAACTTGCCTACACAGCCTGGCCCCAGCTGGAGGAACCAATTCCGATACCAAACTTTCCTCTTGGTGAAGGGAAGAGCCCCTCGTGCTCGGGGAGCACCCAGAGCTGCTGCTGTGGAAGCAGCCGGAGCTGGAGCCGGAGCCCTTGTCAGCAGCTTGCAAGGACCTGGCTTCCCACTGTGGCTCAGGTCATAAAAAAAGCAAAAAACCCTCCCCAGGATGTTGTTCCCCCAGCCTCAAGCTGCAGCAAATGTGACTGGAAGGTGCTGGCCACTTCAAATGAAGCAGATGCAGCATTTCAGCTGGGAAGAAAACGGGCTGGTTGCAGCAAGGCAGGAGATGGGAAGCCCTGGCTGAGAAGCACCGAGTTGAAGGTTTCTTGTTGTGGGTTTATCCAAAGTGCAGCTGGGGTGTCCGGGAAGGCTCCGCACAACACAGGGGAGAGGAGGGAAGCGGCGCCGGCAGATCCTCTCTCTGCCGCATCCGCCCTCCCCAGCAACTGCATCTCCAATTTGGGAGTAATTAGCTTCCTGAGCTGTGCCTAATTGTATCGCCAAACAGAGCACATCAAAGCCAAGGAGTCTTTCTGTTCGGCTGTTTGTTTTTTAAGGGGAAAACCACCCACTCGGGTGCCTGGCACAGACTCCAGCCCTGGAACTTCGTGGCAACAACTCCAACAGCCCGCGAGCCCGGCCGGACGCGGCGGGTTGCACTAACCTTATTAATGCACATTACAAGATGGAGAAAGAATTTTTCAGAACACAAGTAGCAGGTTCTGGCTCCAGAACCAAACAATTATAAAATAAAGGCTTGTTACAGAGCTATTTTGCTGTCGCTGCTTTTCTTCCCTTCCGATACCTTTCTGCGCAATCTCATTGAGGTTTATTTACAGTTTCCAGAACTTTCATCATAACCCTAATGCAGCAGGCATTAAATTGCAAAAGGACAGTCGTGACTGCCAAAATATTACTCAAAGTCCAGACGCTGCTGTTCCCAGTTTCCATTTACCATCATCCAAGTTAAAAAGAAATTAAAAAGAAAAATCCTAAGTGTGATGGAAGAGCAGGACGGTCAACTTAAACCTGCTTCATTTGGCGAGAACACTTAGACCTGTTATTTAAATAAATCACCCTGTTACTTATAATTCATTTGCCTCCTTCAGACCAGAAGTGAGTGAGGTTTTCTAGCTGTGAGATGCACCCCTAATTTTAGGATAGTTCCACTAATTTACCGGCACTATCTGTGTTATGGCAACCTCTTGGCATGTGCTGGTGGCCACGGGGAAACGTGTATGTGCCACGTGCCCAGGCTGGGAATACCGGGAAAACACCCGGGACCTGATATCTGAAGAACCAACAAACTGCAGGGCCGTATCCAGTGAGATGTTCTGGAGTGTCTTTCCTATTATATTCAGTTAAATATTCAGTGACTGTGCCAAACACCGGGTGAGGAAGTAAAATAATAATAAAAAAGGGCATTAAGGGGTATTCCTATCAATTATTCACTGCCCTTACCAGCTTCACACGCACCTCTTCCCATCAGTACTCACTTGAATACTTTAATGTAGTCAGCAAGTTCAGGAATGGAAGTGATGTCACCCTGCAAATAAAGATGATCCCGTTCATTCATCCGCCAGCCCCGGAGCCGCTGCTGGGGTGGGTGGGAAGTGATTCCGTCCGTTAGCGACACGCAACCGCTCACAGGGAATTTCTCCAGGGCAGGAAATCTGGGAAGGGCTTCACTGACAAACGTCAGGGATTCACAGGTCATAAAACCGCTCTAGGAACGCACGAGCTGTTGCACAGAGGGAGGAAGCAGAGCAAACCTATCGCACACAAGTGCCCTCCTGAAACAAGAAGCCAATAGTTTTTCTTTCTTTCTTTCTTTTTTAAGGCTCTTGGCTGTGTGGAGCCAGTTCCCCCTGGTGCCACTCACGGTCACACATTGGCTCATGTTTGCACGGGAACGTTTCTCTTCCACTGACTTCTCCTTATGCTCCAAGCAAGTGAAAACCCAAACAAGTGAAAACGATGCTGTTCCACCCCCACAGAAGGTGCTGCAATGGCTTTCTGGGCGTTTGCAATGGCATTTTTTTTTCCATTTTTTTCATCTTGAGTTTTGCTTAACATACCTGTGTATCTTGGATGAACAAAACACCCAGGAGGGCCTTTCCAACTCCCCTGATTGGGCTACAGGGTTTCTGAATCACCCAGAAAACAAACATTGCTGCAACAGTTTTCAGCAGCAAGTCCGTTTCCTTTCACCCTGCAAGGACCAACTCTGTTTATAGATACCACAGGGGGAAAAAAAAATCAAAATCTAGACAAACAATCCAGTAATTGCCCATTATCCATATTCAATTACTTGAATGGCTCTGGAAATGGCCACTGTTAGCAACTGATACAGAAGAGGAATTTTTTTTTTTTGATGAATCATTGTGTTCTTCATTCTCATTTGGCAGGGACTTAGTATTGGGCTTCAAATCCATTTTGCAAGAAAAGCTGCTCTTGTCTATGAAAACATCTCACTATTTATATTGTGCCTAAGCAACGCTATTCCCTGCACAGCACAAGCAGGAGCAGCACAGGTTAATAGTGTAAAACGTGGCTGTGGTTAGGGACAGAAAAGCACAGATGTTAACTTCAAAAGAGCCTCCATAAACACTGAAAAAGTTACACGAAGTGAGGGAAAATTAAGATTGCAAAATTTCAAGGTTTTTATGCTTTAAAAGGATCATAACATAAAAGTGAAACTCAAAGATGGCATAAATATGCAAAACTACGCGGGCTGGAAAGGCTGCTCTGGATGGAAGCTACGTGCCAAGCCTGAACATACTTAGTCCTTTTTCCACAGTGCAAATTTGAGGCCTTACAATTTTAAAGAGGGAAGACTAGTCTTAAAAAAACATATCAGAATAAAGAAACCCTCTGAAATACAGTCACAGGCCACTCAGGGAGAAAATCCACTTGGATAAAAATAGAGTTTCATAAGGCTATGTTATTCATAGGTTATTTCTGAATGTCCCTGCAGCTGTTTCAGGTCCCGTAAAGCTTTGTCATGAATTAGAAAGCAGTGGAAGAGAAACACAGGTGTGAAGAACTCTGGATTTCTGGAAGTCACTAGGGAGAACAGGCACCAAACGGAGTTGATCTGGGTTTTCCACTCGTTCACCAGCACGACGGCTCCGTTGAGCAGGATCCCGATCCAACAGTTTTCCAGTTGGGTTGGCTAAGGCTTACAGAGGACAGGGCAACTTGTGGTAAATTTACTGTGAAAAGAGAGGCAGCTCCAGAAGCTGCAGCTCACGTGAAGCCCATGTGAACACGTGTCCTTGGTCAAGAGCCTTTTACTGTATATCTGGGCTCAGAGCAGGGCTCCAGCTCCGCCACCAGCCCCGCTCGGAGCGCTGGCTGGAGCAGCCACTGCCTGAGGTCCCTTCCAACCCAAATTCTTCTTGAATAGTTCTGAAAATACCACCCCGTTTTATAAAAATATTATTTGTGTCTAAAAACTTTACTCGGTATTGCTCTGTGGGGTTGTGGGCAACCCCCTCGTGCTGTAACAGCAGAAATTCAAAAAAAAGGGAGAGGAAGGAAACAAAAATGGTTGGAGACCTGGAAAAATTCCCCTGTTCAGTTTGAAGTCATTGTTCCTGCTTCGCTAGAGGAAGCCCAAGGAAGGGGGAGCGAGGCAAGAACAGCATCACCTGCCCGGAGCCCTACCAGGATCGTGGAGGTTTTGCCACCTTCCAAAGTAATCTCGAGATCCGAAAGCGCCGCGTCCACCTCGTCCACCTCCTTGTCGCTGTTGTTCAGGTGGTTTTCCGACGACATGATGGACAGCTTGTTGATGTGGTACTGAAAGAAGGAACGCAAGGAAGGGCCTCCGTGAGCGCGGGACGCTTCCTGCTGCTTCTCCGGGTGCTAGAGACCCCGAGTTGCCCCGGACCCGAAAGGCAGCGTGAAACACTGCCCTGGGTACCATTAACTGCACAGTAAGTCCCACGTTCCACCTCCTCTGGACTGACTGGAGAGGTGAATTGAGTCCTGGTTTTGCTCCTTTTGCCCCGAGGGCCCTCAACGCCAGAGCACACGTAGGAAAGGGGCTGCCATCCGTCTCACAGGACTCAATGGCAGGTATGCTACTTGGGCCAAATCACACGGAGTATTTCATAAAAGAGATAAATAAATGGTTCTGGGAAACCCACAGATTATCACCAGCTGCTCTGGGGGCAGCATGCCAGAAACTCACAGTTCAGTAACCTAATGTACTTACTGGGATTCTTTAAAAAGGGCAAAACTAGGAGTTAAGAGAGACATAAACATGTTTGGTAAAAGCAAGCTAAATTCCTTTTCATGAGAAGAAGCAACAAATATTTAGACTACCTAATAAGCTCAAGTGAGTACCAGGGAACAGGAAACAGTCCAATTTCTACCCACACATGAAGTCCGAGCTCCCCACCGAAGACAAGATGAGGTCTATAAAATACCATTTACAGCCCACTAAAGTCAGCATGTGCATCAGTATCAGCACTAGAGGAGCCTGAAAAGCTGCGACCAAGTTAGTTACAAAGGTGTCTGGGGCTGTCCCCTACCTGCAACGCCGCAAACATCATCATTTCTTCCTCCGTGCACTCGATCTCCTCCAGCAGGATGGCCCACTTGGACTGCTCGTAGAGCTGGTTGATCCTGATGGCGTCGTACTGCGGCACAGAGACCCGGCGGTGACAAACGCAGCCTCACGGCAAGGCCCAGCGTCCTGCAGCCTTCACGCACACGTAGAAGGTGTGCAACCCCTTAATCCTTTTCCCTCCACCCGTGTTTTGAGACTGAAAAGCTCCTTGGGGCAACATGAGGGCTAAACTTCAGCCTGTGCAGCCAGGGCTCGAGACGCACACGCGGCCGCTCTTCGAGCAATCTGGGGCCGTGTGAGCACAAACTGCTGCTAGAGACACAGGTTGCTTTTGTTTGCAACGTTGGCCTGCGAGGTGCGAGTCAAATAAATAGCTCCCTACCTTTGGATTCAGGTCGAAAAAGCTGTAGTATTTGAACCGGAGCAGCAAAGCCTCATTTTCTTTCACCTCCTGCTCCATGAGGGACCTGGACGAATCCAGCCATCTGCAAATTGAAATTGTCAACAAGGGGTAACACACATAAAAAAGTCCCGGCTGAGTGGAAACGGCTCTTGCAAGAATGCAATTTAAAACCACGCATTAAACGAAAGATTAAAAAAAAAAAGAGGAAAAGAAAAAAGAAGAAAAACAAACCCAGAACTCACCCTTGGTTGATTTTGGCTTTATCAAGCAGCGCTTGTGGCTTGTACATTTTGGCTAAGGACTCCGGGGACGTGACGGGCTGGCTCACGGCCAGGATGCCCGGGTTGCCCTCGGACAGGGCGCTGTCCCCGAACCAGGCCGAGGTGGGCGAGAGGGGGCTGCCGTCGTGCGAGTCGTAGGTCGGCGTCATGGTCTTGCTGTACAGCCCCGGGCTCGAGTAGATGTTTCCTAGCAGAGACAGGGATAGAAGCTCCGCGTTAGCTCAGGGCCAGACCGCATGTGCTCAGCACAAAGCCAATTCAACAAACACATGAAAACCCTCCTGATTCCATTCTTGGGGTTTTTTTTTTCCACGGTTAGGGAACAAGCACTGCTTGTTTTCCCATGAAAAGCTGCCTCTCTCTCTCTTCCTCTCGCTCAGCTCTTCTTGAAGAGCAAAACTGATGGAAAAGTCATTTCAGCCCGAATCCACGGGAAGAAATCCAGGCCTCCGTGGCGCGGAATTTGGGCGGCCGGCGCTTCCCCGCCGCGGCTCCGCAGCCCTGGACCCACTTACCAGCGATCCCTGGTGGCTGAAAGATTGTGGAAGTGAAGAGTTTGAGAGGAGCAGGAAAAGGAGCTAAAGGCACGACCAAGGAAAGGGACAGAGCACAGGAGTCCTACTGAGGTGGAGCTCACCTTTCACGGGGCCGATGTAAAGAATATCGGTGCCTACAGAGAAGGAGAGAAAGGAGGGAAGTGAGAAGGCAAGGGACAGCCACCGCAGGGGACGTCAGCGCAGGAAGGACAGGAGCTGCAAACACGCATCTTTGTTGAGGCTGGACGAGCACAGGGAGGTTCAGTTTGCCAGCGCAGACCTTAAAACTGCCGTGTTTTCACCCAAAACTTACTGCAGAGGAGACCCCGGCTATGCAGGAGCGAGGCAGCATCTCCTATTTGCAAAAGAGGTGTTTGTGTCGCTGCTCTGCTCTGAGGCGCTGCTGAGGAGGAGGGACCATGGAGAGGTTCTCCCTGCTCCTTGCCCTTTGCCTGCCTTGCAGTATCACACACCAAAGCACAAATTTGGCCAACTCGCTGGTTGCAGAGGCTGCCTCACTTGGTTGAAAGCGCACACATAGTCTAAATAACAGGGAATATTTACAAAACAGGGGGCACGCATCCCAGTGTGGAAACACAGTGTTAAAATACCCCTCCAATTGGATATTACTGCATCTAACAAACTGCAGTTTAAAAAAAAATACTGAAATGATCACAAAGACATCCAGAATCCAACCCACTGCTCCATGAAGAACTCGCATTTAACTTTGCAGCACTGTTACCTGAGCTGCCAGACGAAGCACCCCAAATGCCCTCCCGTTGTTTTCCTGGTGTTACAGGAAAGAGCTGCACGCAGAAATGTCACATTTTTACAGACACAGGAGCTTGCTCCCACAGCCACGTTTATTCAATATTAGCACGTTCAGCAAGTGGTGCTATTTAGTGCAAAGCAAGCATTACTTCGAGGAGTTTTACAGCTCATGTAGCTGTAAAGCAGAAGAAAAACCTTTCAAAATACCATTAGGAACAGCAGAAAGCTGAGCTGGAATGGCATCTCATATCCCAAAATAGCTGAGAGCTAAATAGTCCCTATTGATCTCATGGGAGCATTGATTTTTACATTAAGCGCGTAAAACCCAGCTTTTCAAAACAAGCAAGGTTCGATGACCGTAGGCCTAATGTAAGTAATTCCACTGGGTAAATAAACGGGGCAATGAGCTCCAGAGCATTCAGTGCCCAGGAGGGCCAGCGTGGGCTTTTTGGCCAAGGGACAGGTCTGTTTCTCCTGCTTCTCCGGAGCGGCTCCCTCTGCGCTTCCCTGCTCCGCTCCCTGCGCGGGGCAGCTTCTCTCCTTGCCCAAAACCTTGGCTGGCAGCAAGACCTGCTCGTAAGAGAGCGTAATTTTTATAAAAATGGCAGGTATACGCACAGACGTATCCAAAATCCACCTCACGAGAGCTGTTAAGGCTGCTGGAGGTGGTGTTGACGTGCCAGAATTGGGGTCCCCTGTGCTGTTCCCCCTGGTGCATTTAGACCCCGTCGGCCACTTGCTCTTTACTCCGGGAGATCCCTCCTCGCTGAGCGAGCCGGGAATTACGGAAAGCTGAGCTGAACATCTGGAAATGTCTAAGACCGAAACAATAGAAAAACTTCTCCAAAGTGGCTTTTTAAAAGACGGGTATCTCGAGAAGCCGTGAGAATGGTCCTCATCCATCCAAACAGGGAAATTCTGGAGTTGTGAGTGATCGTGGGTAACCC